AGATAAATACTTAAAATAAGATACATGGGAATCCGAATGTTACAATTCTCCCCCACTAGAATCAGACTTCGCCCTCGAAGTCTTGCTCCTCAAACAACTCTGGATGCTGCTCCCGCATCTCCAACTCTAGCTCCCAGCTCAGCTCGGACCCTCTCCGATGTTGCCACTGGACTTGAACCAGGGCACCTCCTTGTTCCTCAGAACCTTGATCTTTCGATCCACAATCGCAACCGGCCTCTCAACATAATTCAGGCTTGCATCCACCTGAATATCTCCCAATGGCACCACCGCCGACTCGTCGGCTATACACTTCCTCAACTGAGACACGTGGAAGGTATCATGAAATCTGGCTCAACTCCGCAGGTAGCTCCAAACGATATGCTACCCTGCCCACCCTCGCGGTCACCCTGAACGGACCAATGTATCGGGGCCCCAGCTTGCCCCTCTTCCTGAATCGGATCACTCCTTTCCAAGGAGATACTTTCAGGAGTACGAAGTCTCCCACCTGAAACTCAAGCTCGGATCGTCGCCTATCCGCATAATTCTTCTGGCGACTCTGAGCTGTCAACAACCTCTGCCTGACCTGCTGTATCTGCTATGTCGTTTGGAGCACTAACTCAGTGCTACCTAACACTCGCTATCCGACCTCTCCCCAGCAGATGGGAGTCCGACACCTTCTCCCATACAACAACTCAAAAGGAGGCATACCGATACTCGAATGATGGCTGTTGTTATAAGAAAACTCAGCCAACGGCAGTACATGTCCCAACTTCCTCCGAAGTCCAACACACATGCCCTAAGCATGTCCTCGAGCGTCTGAATCGTCCGCTCGCTCTGACCGTCTGTCTGTGGGTGGTATGCGGTACTGAAATGCAGCCTCGTACCCAACTCCTCATGGCATTTCTTCCAGAACCTGGAAGTGAAACGCACATCTCGATCCGACACCATCGAGATTGGTACTCCATGTCGCGATACCACCTCTCTCACATACAATTCTGCCAGCCTCTCAGCAGAAGAGCTCTCACTGATAGCAAGGAAATGGGCGCTCTTCGTCAGTCGGTCAACGATCACCCAAATTGTATCGACACCTCTCGCAGTCCTTGGCAATTTGGTGATAAAATCCATGGAAATTTGTTCCCACTTCCACTGGGGAATCTCAAGTGGCTGCAACTTGCCATGCGGACGCTGGTGCTCGGCCTTAACCCTGCGACAAGTCAAGCACCTCTCCTCGAACCACACAACATCCCTCTTCATACAGGGCCACCAATAGTCTCTCTTCAGGTCCAAATACATCTTAGTGGCCCCGAGATGGATCGAGAACCTCGATCTATGCGCCTCCTCCATCAGAATGATATGTGCCCCGCCCTCAAATGGCACTCAAATTCGACCCTGAAAGGTCATGAGCCCTCGGCTATCGGCAACGAACTCAGGCACCTGCCCGATCACCCGCTCTCTCTTGCAGTTCTCCGGCTTCATGGCCTCAACCTGAGCCTCTCGAATGGTGTACAACACCGGAGTCATCACCGTCAACCTCAAACAAACATCACGTAAAGGGGCACTCTCCGTCCTACGACTCAGGGCATCGGCTACAACGTTAGCCTTGCCCGGGTGGTACAGGATCTCACAATCATAATCCTTTACCACATCCAACCATCTCCTCTGGCGCTGTCACAAACTTCCACCAGTCCTTCGCTCCCAAGCGAAGCTGGTTCAGCGCGAACCGAACTCTCAGATGCTCCGGACATGAACACGTATAGAAGCATCCCTCAATGTCAGAAACCCATCTCATCGCAGCAATCGGATCCTGCATCCCATCAAACTCTGGTGGTTTCGTGTTACTGAACTCCCGGAACAGCAACGAATCACCACCCTGAGGCCTAGCAGCAGCAACAGCTGCGGTAGCTGCGGCGGCTGCAGCCTCAGTAACTGTTGCGTATCTCTCATCAAAAGTCTCAATCAACGTGGTCTTAATAGACCCAAACATCTCTGGTATCTCTGCGCGGATCGCCGCAGCCACCTCCTCATGGATCATCTGGCAGAGCTCCTCATCACTCACTCGGATGGTCCCTGGTCTGTGGCGTGTCCCAACCATGATGTCTCTAAAATACAACATAAAATATCAGAGGCTCGCTCGAGTATGCACACACTCGATAACCCATTCCTACTCGATCCCTGGTACTCTAAGGATTCTTACTTGGGCTGCGTACTGATCCGGTGTCTTCAGTAGTACGGGCCCAATACTACCGTCCACACCACATCAGTATTCACCCTAAGTCCTCCTCCTAGGATCCCAAATCCCAAGTACTCTACTCTCACTCTGCATAGTCTACTCTCTCGCAGATCTCTCATAAGCTCCTCCCTGCTATCTACTCACTCTCAAGCATCTCCTAGCAGCAAAACCCCTAGGCTAAGGCATCACAAATCAAGCCACTCTAGTTCTAATAAGAATACCTAGCCTACTCTAACATGCATAACCTATTATCTCATATTTCATAACACATAATATAAGGGTATTTTGGGAAATCACCGTTCGGGTGCTGGCTGATTGTACACACTGCTCTGCTCTGCTCTTTTCAAAACCTTTTTACTCTTTTAGAAAAATTTCGTTTTATCTCGAAAAATTCCTCAAATCCTCAGTTTGAGTTCAAATGCGCTCGAACGTGCATCCGAATCCCTCAAACCAAGGCTCTGATACCAACTTGTAACAACGTAAATTTCAAAACAATTTTTCACTTTTAAAGATATAATTTCATTCATAAATACTCTCAAATCTCAATGTATCACATATCAAATCCATAAAAACACATCCCGAGATCAAAATGTATAAAACTCCAATAGTGTGTACTGATCATGCCGGCGCCTTCCCGCGATCCTCACTGGTACCTGAAATACATAACACAAGACACTATAAGCATAAATGCTTAGTGAGTTCCCCAAAATACCACATATAACACATATTAGCCACTCGAGGCTATAACTCTGTGGGCCCACTGGCCCTAACTCTGTGGACCTTCCGGTCCTAACTCTGTAAACTCTGGAATACACACAGCATAAATCACATAGAAATAATGCAGTGCAACACATCACATACATAGCATACAAGATACTCTGTCACATAACTCCACTTACCACTCAAGGTATAGTATGGTGAGAAGACTCACCTCGGGTAACTCGGCAAATCTCGAGCTCGGTAAAAATCTGGTCTAGCCCCCGCCTAATCACATGGAATAAGCACTCTAATCAATACAACCCTTAAGGCTAGGCTAATCCCTCTCTTAGTACTCTCAGAAGGGTAAAAGACCATTTTACCCCTCTCATGGCCCAAAGACCCTAACATTGACCAAACCCTAAAAGTCAACAAAAGTCAACTCTAGTCAACAATCAACTTTGACCAGACTCGTCGAGTGCACTTGGGATACTCGGCGAGTCCACGCGGGTCCCCTGAATCCTTCTAAGCCTCACTTGGCACGTCGAGTCCCTCCTCTACTCGCCGGGTTACTCTGCAACGACTCGCGGGGCAACCCCGACTCGACTCGTCGAGTCCACTTATGGACTCGGCGAGTTGCTCCCATAACAGCTCTCAAATGACCTTCTGAGGTCAGATCTGTTTCTCTAAACTATAGATCTGACTTCTCCATGACCAAAAACCACGTAAAGGTCGAAACTTGACTCACATGCAATGAACCCAAGGCTTTCCTTGGTGAAATGGCTTCTAAAATGGCAACCTAGTCTCCTTTCCTCCATAAACCAACATAAAGCAGAATGGGGAAGGCTCTCCGGACCTCTATGGATCCAGATCCGAGGTCTAACACAGCAAGGGACCATTAACTCAACTTTTCAAGCCCTAAAAGGTTATAGAAAACCCTAGATCATAGATCTTAACCCAAAACAGAAAGGAAGTTCGATTTGATACCTCAATAGTGTAGATCTGAACGTGAAACCCTGGATCCACAGCTCCCTTGACCTCCTCTTGCTGGAAACAACTTCTCCTTTGCTAAATCACACCAAAATCGATCAATATGGCCTTATCACTCTCTCAACTCGCTCAAGCTCTCAAGGGGCACTCTCTTAGGACAGGTAGCCGCAGAAGAGGGCTATAAGGTCCTTTAAATAGGGCTCAGGCCCGAGGATTTAGGGTTTCAACCCACAGCGTGGACTCGTCGAGTCCCCCCTTTCTGACTCGTCGAGTCCGCTCATTAATCCAGTCAGCAACGCGATCCTACTCGGCGAGTCTGAGCGCCTACTCGCCGAGTCCCTCCCTAAAACTCAAGATAAATACTTAAAATAAGATACCTGGGAATCCGGATGTTACAAAACCCTTGATGATGTCAGTGATGATGTCGTTGGGATGGAGAGGAATCGGTGATAAGCTGGTGAACCGATGATGGTTGAATTACAACTGAGAGGTTAGAACAGGAGGGGTGGAGGAGATGTTACAGATCTCGATTTATCGGAAAAGCCCCGCCTTCGAGAACGAAACTATTGTTTTTTTTTCAAAGATCAAACACAAACATCCCATCTTTAAATCTCGATTTGAAGTGTGGGGATGGATGCCACCACAGAGAGAGAGAGAGAGAGAGAAAGAGAGAGAGAGTGGTGGGGAAGGATTGGGTGAATACCACAAGGACCAATTTTGCAGTTTTCTCTCTCTCTCTCTCTCTCTCTCTCTATATATATATATATATATATATATATATATATATATATATATGAAAAAACATCATAAATGGTCCCTGTGGTTTCCCCAGATCTGAAGTTTAGTCCCCGTGGTTTAAAAACATCATAGATGGTCCGCGTGCTTTCAAAACTTTTGATGCTTGGTCCTTATTGCTAACTCCGTTAAGTTTTGTCCGTTAACTGAAGGGCATTTTCGTCATTTCACTACCACAGAGACCATTTATGATGTTATCTCTTATTTTTTTAAAAAATGAAATAATATGCAAATGAGGTCCTCCCCCCCCTCCCTCTCTCGAATAGACAATAAGAGCTAACATCGCAAAATGGCAGATCATTTCTATCAAAATGAAATGTCGGTGTTCATCAAAGAAGAAGACCCACCGCCACCTAAAACCACCACAAATCCCCTAACAAAGATTCTATCTCTTCCCTACAACCTATTTTCCGATAAAATCAAACGAGCAGCCTTAAACCTCAAACAAATTGTATTTTCTACTTCTTTATTCCCTTAATTTATGTTTTCTCGCTTTCTTCATTGTGTTGAATTTTGATTTACACATGCAATTATAGATTGTGTTAGAGACTTGGGGAAACACCAGGAAACGTTTAAACGATTACACATTGTACACAGGTGCCCTAGGCACAACTTTGATGGTTTTCAAAGCTTACAAAGTTACCCACAACAAGAAAGATCTTGATTTATGTAAAGATATTCTTAAAGCTTGCGATTCTGCCTCTTTTGGGTTTAGGTTATCTTCTTTTTTGTTTCTCTGTTTTTGAGCAAGACGATTGTTTTTTGCAGTCGCAGCCCTGTGACATTCATTTGTGGTCATGCCGGTGTATCTGCAATTGGTATTGTCGTGGCCAAACAAAGAAACAAAGAAGAACATGAAACCAAGAACCACAAAGAACATGAAAGATCTACCCCTTTCGTCTCTTTACCTAAATCAAACTTTATTTTTCTTCTATCCTCTCTTCATTCACACAAACACACCCGATTTCAGTTTGATTCAAATTTAAGGTTCCGATTCAGACTTCCCCTCTGCCACCACCGGAAAAGACACAGTCTGTAAAGGAGGTCACAATCAACTATGCTTCTTAGATGCGTGCGTCTCATGCGTGTCCCGACAATAAGAAGAAATCGTTGCCCTTTTCTACGACTTGTTTTTAATAGAATCAGGCGGAAAAAATCACAGCTCCATTCAATCTCTTTTCTCTTAAATCGATCGATCTCTCATTTATTTCTATATTTCCCGAATCACACAAGGTTCGGTCCTCCTTCTCTAATCGATCACATTCCTTCCCTCTTCTCTCGAATTTAATGTTGCATATCTATCAGTTCATGGTCAGATTTTGTGTTATAGATGTAGACAATGGACCTTGATTCGAGATTTATGTGTAAGATTGGTCACTGGTGATAGTGGGTATGAAAGTGGTTGTCGGCGGTGGTAGATATGGCATTCGCCGGAGGTGGTGTGTAAGAAGCCAATTACAAAATGTAGGCTATGATGGTTGATTCAAGGCATTTTAGTTTCCACATTCTTAGAGAGAGAGAGATACCTTTTATATATTTAATTATATTAAATTTTTTCTTTTTTTAAAAAAATACGAGAAAACATGATAAATGGTCCCTGTAGTAATGAAATGATGAAAATGCCCTTCAGTTAACGGACAAAACTTAACGGAGTTAGCAATAAGGACCGATCGTCAAAAGTTTTGAAAGCACAGGGACCATGTATGATGTTTTTAAACCATGGGGACTAAACTTCAGATCTTGGGAAACCACAAGGACCATTTATGATGATTTCTCTCTCTCTCTCTCTATACATATATATATATATATATATATATATATATATATATATATATATATATATATATATATATATATATATATATATATAGACAAAATTGCAAAAATGGTCCCTGTGGTATGAATTTTTTTGGGGTTTTAGTCCAAACCCCGAGTTTTTTGGATTCATGGTCCTTTTGGAGTGGTTTGTATGTGAAAATAGTCCCTCCGAAAATTGAAATTACTATAATACCATTGGGGTATTTATTTTTCATTTTTCTTAAAATTTAATATTTATTTATTTATTTTAACAATTAAAAAAAATAATAGAGGACCTCTTTCTCTCTCTCTCTCTCTCTCTCTCTCTCTCTCTCTCTCCCTCTCTCAAGAACACATTCATAATCTGAAGAACACGTCTTCATAATCTCAAGAACACTCAAGAACATATTCATGAACTTAAGAATATCTTCCACAACCATCACCCTTTGACCACCGTCCGCCACCACCACAACCCTGTGACCACCGTCTGCCTCCACCACTGTCCGCCACCACCTTAGTCTGCCACTACCACCATCTGCCACCTCCATATATGGTTCCACCATTACCCATAATCCCTTTCCCCCCATCGTTCACCTCCTCCGATAACCTGTTTTCAACCATCTCCGGCAACCGTTCGCCTCTGAACATGACCATTGTTAACCTCCAACAAACACCACAGTTCACCTCTGCCAACAACAACCAATCACGACATCCACCACCATTGTTGAAATCTAATTCTAACCTGAAATCAAAACCAAGGGCTTAGACTTAAAATCTAACCTGCAACTCAAATTCTAACTCAAATCTAAGCATGATAACTGAAATTAAAAAAGAATCTACCACCTGACTTCAAATCCCACCTTGATTTACACGATTAAAACAAGAATAGGCTTGTTGAATCGATTAGAATTTTGAAACCCAGATGATGAAGGTTCAGACCCATATACTTTGAAGGTTGAACCATGAAGTTGATCAAGGAAACAACGTTTGAGGGATACATGACCATCGATCTGATATTAATTATGTAACAATCGGAGTACCAAACTAAAACCGGGAATTGGGAATAACTCCAGATGAAGATTAGGATATAGAAGAATCTAATTAGGGTTGGAGAACACATACAAATTAAGAAATTACGAATGGCAGATAAGGGAATCCCAACCGATAGAGGAGTAAAGGTCAACATAGTTCTTCAAATGCTTATCTTGACTCGACATCCAAGCGAATACAACCACTATGCGTTTGTCGGGTCCTCTTCTTCTTTCTTCTTCTTTTGTCTTCCCCCCAGTAGAATCTTGTGACAACCCGAAAATTTCTATCTGGTAAAGCCAACCAATCCAATCAAATGTCTGTTTGAGTGTTCCCCCAGTAGAATCTTGTGACAACCCGAAAGTTTCTGCTCTCTTTTAGCATTGTTAGGAGTCTGTTTGAGTGTTCTAAGCCTAGTACACTTAAGGATTATGTGTTGGGGTGTATCAGCTTAAGTTCATTGGGTTACAATCGAGCCGGCAACTCCATCACAATGAGTTTACGGCCGCAAACTAGATTTTACGACCGTAAACTCTTGGTGGCCGTGAACTCCCATGATAAGTATAGATTTCCTTCATTTGTTCTTCATTTTCTCACCTCTTTCAATCAAGAACACTCAAACTCTCTCAAGTATCATAAAGGGAATCCATCATTTCTCTTCAAAAACGTAAGTTATTCATCCGTTTTACTAGTTAATCTTCTTGATCATATGAATCCTATGAATAACATCCTCGAATTCATCACTTTTCCTTCAAGATCTTGAAATCTTCATCTTTTCACCAAGAACACCCATTTGTTCTTGGGCCGTAAACACCCTAAAGACCTCCAAAGTGTGAATATCTCTTCTATCATCTTGTTATCCATTAGAAGCTCGTGTATCCTCATAAGACCAACACCTTATAAGCATGAATCAAGATCCAAAATGCATCATTTTCAAGTGTTTACGGCCGTAAACACTTCTTGTGGCCGTAAACTTCCCTTGGCCGTGAACACGTCGTTAGGTGGCCGTAAACTCCCTTTCATACCATCACATATGATTGTAACACTTCCTTACAAGTGTTTCCTAGTCCCCAAGGTTGTTTCCTTGCGTGTTAGTTGTTTTAAACACTAATTACATGCCTATATATGCCATTATATGTCATTTAGGACTCATTTGTGCCTCAGAAATTCATTCGTGGAACTTCTCATCCTTACACGAATCTTCAATTGAATCACCCACATAAGGTGAGTTCATACCCCTTTAATCAATCTGTTAAATGGATTTAAATGATTTTATGGGGGGGGGGGGGATACAAGTTAAAACACAAGAAATGATGTGTTTTAAAATATAAACTGCTTATTACGTCTTTGTACCAATAAACTGTATGTAGAACATGAAACTGTAGATAGAACATAGAAAGGAGCTTATAAACTTTAATAAGTAAACTTAAGGAACAGAATGAACTTTTTATAAACTTATCTGTTAAATATAAAAAGGGTTTTTCCACATCATTACTTGTAAAGTCGTTAATCCAGCTTGTGAGACACGTCTTCTAGTACTCATATAAGTACCATCGAAAGTCTACCTTTACGAGAAGAGTCTACTGGAGGGAGAGCATGAGTTTGTGTATAGATCTATACGAGATTGACAATCCCGCACCTCGCTGTTAGCTACAGTCGGACCGACAGGTCTGCGGGTGACAAATGTCATATTCTTCTCGACGTTTACCATACGTCGTGGTTAACCAGTCCAATTAGTATGGTCGTAAAACTCACAAATAGATAACAACGATATATTTACTTAGTAATAAAATTTTCATGAACAAATCTTAAAGGACACTAACTATGTGATTACCCAATGTATACTTTAGGGTTTGATAGAACTGAAGTACGATAGACAGTGGAATGTGTGCTTTCCGCCTTATTTCCTGTTCCTTGTTTGGTTGTGGACTTAGGGCAGATTCACCCGTTCAACTGTCTATTCAATCTCGGTTATATGCAACTCGTATGTATTAGGTAGTCATAGGAGGGTAGTAGCGTCGTATCAGGTATCCAGAACAACCAAGTCTTTATTCAGTTTAACATATCAACAAAACTATACATCATTGTAGTAAGTAGAGGGAGTATACTTGTGCTTTTCAAACTTAGAACAACATGGAAATCAAGTCGGTCTTTATAGAAAATATAGGATTTTCTATGGTAAACATCATACTTTTTAAGGTAAACAGTTTTGATTGTACTTTCTGAAAACAATAGCGTTTTACCCAAAACAACGGTTCATAATTGAAAAAAGTGAAACTAGAAACTTATTTATAAAAAGGGGGTTTAATACTTCTTATTAAACCAGTATAACTCAAAGGACCTTTAGTGGTTAAATATATAATACCTTAGTTTATACATCAGGGTTGTATATAATTAATATCCGATAGGTAGTTGGATGTGTGCTTTCCGCCTTACTTCCTGTTCCTTGTTTGGTTGTGGGCTTAGGGCAGATTCACACAATTAACTATCTGTTCGATATTAGATTATATATAGCTAGTATAAACTAAGTGATTATAGAAGGAACTATTGTGGTTACCATTTTTACTAAAGGAAATATATGATTTTCTTAAAGAATGTTTTCATCAAATAAAGGAACTATTACAGTTAACTCCGTAAGTACCAAATGAATACGCCAGGGTTATATACAATGAAGATCTAACAAACAATGGGATGTGTGACTTCCGCCTAATTCCCTGTTCCTTGTTTGGTTGTGGGCTTATGGCAGATTCACACAATCGATTGTCTGTTTACTCTAAATTGTATATAACTTGTATCCATTTAGTACTCATAGAAGGAACTGTAGAGTCATTTTACTTTCATTCATCATATCAGAAAATATAGGATTTTCTAGAGGAACATGCGAACCACATACTTTGTAGCTTCATGTCTTGTTTTGTTATTTACTTTTGAAGTCAATCTTTTGTGAACCACATACTTTGTAAACACTTTAATATTAATAAAATGGTTGTTTGTTACTTTGATTACTATGATGCATGTGTTGTGATACTAAACATGACGTCCTCCGCCCCCGAACGTTTCCGCCGTTCCGGTTTGGCGGTGTGACAGATTGGTATCAGAGCATTGTTTACAGTGAACTAAGTATATCAACCTATAAAAGATATACAACTATAAATGCAATGGGGCCGAAGTGCTCTGACTAAAAGTATATTTTGAAAATATAAAAATATTCTTATAAAAAAAATATACATACCTTAATACATATATACATACTAGAACAAGTATTACAATAAGAACAAAACATAAGTATTTAAAGGTTGAACACTACGGTCAAATCTGGACAATTATGTAATCATATCTGGGATCAATATAGCCTGATCAACTATATTCATTTGAGATATGACCTGCATGTGTTTGGGAGTGATGTGGTGTTGCAACAGTCTTAAAACTTACCTAACTCTATACACAAGGGATTTCTAGATCAGAGCATAAAATTAAAATACTATAGGAGTATTTTATGATACTATAAGAGAACAACAAGTTTAAAACATACCAAGTTCATTACATTAAAATACTATAAGAGTATTTTAGGCACTATAAATAACTTATGTGAGAATTTAAAAGACCCATACGGGTAGGTCTATAATTTCGGAGTGTGTACTTCCAAGGTTTTATATAATTGAGATTTTATAGACTTAGAATTTGTGATCTATGCTCTATTTCTTGTTCCTTGTTTGGTTGTGGTTTTGGAGTATGATCACTTATTTAAAGGTCTATTTAATCTTAAATTATATACAACTTGTATACATTGCGCAATTATAGGAGGACCTGGTAAGGATCACCCCATAATGTTTCACTTATTCTCATAGATTCTTTAGACACTTCCATTCTTGCACGACAAACCCAGAAAGGTGTAACCACTCCATCATAATAGTCAGCAGAGGATTCAAGGAGGAACAAAAAGATATTCAAGAAGAGTTCTCCAAGGAGGGATCAGCCAAAGAAACTAAAATGTCCTATGCGTCACACTAATAAATAATAACCTTGATTGACTTAGTGAGCTAGTGGATACACTGCTCACATTATGTGTTAGGATTATTTCTTTTTCATGTAACTGGTAACAGTTATTCAATTCACAGAGATTCATTCGAGGATAGCCACTTCTGATTCATAAAGTTTATTTTATATAGACTCCCATTATGAATTGTTTTCCAGAACCCTATGAAAGTCAGAACCGGATACACTCAGAACTGGAATAGCTTAGTCATTCAGCTTTCGACTTATAACCACTGCTATAGACTTATTTCCGTCTCATCTTTGTATTCTTTTTAGCAAAAGATGCCTCACGGTAGACCTATAAGGCATGTAGTCAATACCACAACATAGAATCCACCACCACAATTCGATCCTGCTGCTCTCCAAGCAGCGATATCAGCCGTAGTAGCAGCTGCTTTAACTCACATCAGCGAAAGTGGTACCAATGTAACCGGTAGTGGTACCCACTTAACCAACCCCGGAGTTACCCACGGATACCCACGGGAGTGTTCGCACAAGGACTTCATGAACTGCAAACCCAAATCCTTTAATGGAAATGGGGGAGTCATTGCTCTGATGCGATGATTTGAGAAAACAGATTCGGTCTTCGCAATCTGTCTGTGCCCAGAAGGGAGCAAAGTTAAGTTTGATGCCTGCACCTTCTCCGACAGAGCTCTAACATGGTGGAATAGCCATGTTAAGTCACTGAACCTATCAGTGGCT